GCTGACCGGAAGCAAGCGGGGGCGCCCAGAAAACACCCGCCCGTCATGGTTCAAGTTCAATGTTACTGAAAGCATTTGAAAGCTGAATCAGCCCTGTCCATGCGTTCTTTGGATTGAAACCATAAAAAAATAGAAAACAACAGCAAAACAGTTCTGGTACTCCTAATGAATGTCTACAGGGATTTGGATGATCATGAAACCATATGATTTTGCTGAGATGGGTTGTCCCATTTTCGATCCCCTTGCACAAACTGACAGTAGCAGGCAGTTGGCGGGTGGTAACCCATGCCCTGGCTAGAAGTTTAGATTCAAACCCACGTTTTTGATCTACTTCCAAACCCGTGCAGAGCAAGCTATTACCAGAGCTACGATAGAACAGGACATAGCCATAGCTATTTGGAACATGGGGGGCGGGGTGCAGTGTACAGAGGTTGTTTGTTGGTATTTACTATTGTTGGTATTTACTATATACGCCATGCTGAAGGTCATTTGATGCGAGTTGAAACTTGGGATCTCACACAGCCACTGGTCAGGCCAGTATACAATACAAACGTTTGCTTGTTGAACCACCTAGTCTTGTAATCGAAGTGCTGATCGTGCCATGGAGATATTGATCATTTTAGCTGTGAATCTCCCGGTCGAGGCGAGTCTAGGTGCAGTAATTCTGTTGCAGCAGGCTGTTGAATCTTCAGGATCCCTCGTCCCACTTCATTTACACAGCCAAGTCTCCTTTGAGGCCAGGAGCCAGGGTGTACATGTACGACGATGAGTGGCACCCTGGATGATTTGGAGCGGATTTGCCAGCCGATGTTGTTTTGTCACCAGGCCGCCGGCAGAGCTATTCCCAACGAAGGAAATCGATCAAAACATTATTTTGGTGCATTTTAATTTGATTTGAGAAAACAGCAACTATAATGTTCAATTGCTATGTAGCTGGCTGTATATTTTTCCTGTAGCTAGGCTTCCATTCATGCGCCGTGTGGGTCAAGATGAGAGATGCCGCAGAACTTTGGTGGTTCAGGATCGCCGTTGGAGGTTCCCGGAGTCTCAGGAGTCTCAGATCGCCCAGTTAGTGAACAAGACCTTTGGCACATCAAATATGCAAAAACTTGTGCTGAAGCGTCACATCACATCTATCGAATGGAATGGAGAGGCTCATATAACATTGCTCTTACTATCGAGACCACACTAGTAGCCAAATCCGAGCGTTCTTTTTGGCATCGTATTGTTGTAACGATTTGGACCTGAGAAAAACAAGCTTCGCTCAGGCCCACCCTCCTCACCGATGAGTTGACTCTGTTGTCCCATGGTGTCCCCCGATTGGCACCTTCCCTCTTGACCTGACGTGTCCCACACGTCAGTTTTGCTTTAGAATCTCGTTGAGCAGCGCACTTCGGCTCCGAGGGCGGTCCCACCTGTTCGGCTCCGAGCTCCGAGCTCCTTGGTCTCCGTCCGTCCGTTTCAGGTTCGGCAGCGCGGTGACGGTGGTGGAGATGGACGGTGAGATCGACATGGACAACATGGAGGAGCAACTTAAGGACCGTCCGGGCTGCATCGGGCTGCAAAGGTTCGGTGCAGGTTTCCTGTGCTGATACGTGTGCACACAGAGCGGCATCGGTGTGAGGGACACGGCATGGGTGTAAGAACACGTTCAAACGGATCATGTTGGTCTAATATAATATATGATTTGATGGTCGATCCTGATGTTGTATTCCCCACTAGGTATATGGCAGTGGCGATGAACATTCCTGCGGTTTTGTTTTTTTTTGGGGGGGGGAGCTGGAGCTACGGAAAGGATACATACAAATGATATATGTGAGATTATGTGAGCGTGTATAAAGCATTTGCAGCAGTTCTATATATGCATTCAACCAACTTCCCTTCAACCTAGACCCTTTCAGACAGCTGCAGACTGCCAAAATCGCACTTTGCGCAGCACCTAAAAAGACCACCGGATGGGGAGGAGATTGAGTCTAACATGGAGGGCTTGCCATCCAAGAACGACAACGAGCTCACCGAGGCAAGGTCCGCTGTCACGGTTTTGTGTCGCGCTAAGCAAGTCGCTTCTTCGCTAAGCAACGCTCACATGGTCCAAGGATACCCCATATATGGCCCATATAGTTTGTATATGTTTGTATGCTTGTTTATGATGTGGTCTTCTCATTTTTGTTGGGAAAGGTGGTACCCACTTCTTCCTTTGTCAAGCCTGATAGGGTTCCAGAGAACTGCACAAAGGTTACCTTGGCTGTTTCGGGCCAATCAGGTTAAACATGTTTAACATATTTTAAAATATTTTTCACTCAAGGCTAAACACGAAACTTAGCAATCACACTCACCACCCACCGGCTGCACATCAGCAGCACCTCATATTTAATGCTTTCTCGTGGATGTTGTGGTCCAAACCTCAATCGCCCGACACGAGCGCGGACCAGTTCGCTTGGTGGGGTAAACTTTCCATCTGACTTTTCGGTGATGTTTCCTTGGACACCTCATGAAACCTTTGTTGTTATTCACAGGCTTCCGACGCAGGGAAGGGCACCTCATCGGAGAACGACCTTCCTCCCAATCCGACGTGCCCAGGCGATGCTGCAATTGAAGAGCAGCCCCGGTTCTCAGAACGGCACCGGACTTCTGCAAACCGTCATCGCCATGAAGGCGGACTGGGCGGATGGAGCTGGGGCAGACGACAAGCTGGGTTTGGGGTTGAGGAGGAGCCAAGCCATCCATCCTACTAGCGATGGCCTCCAACCTCAGAGCGATGGCCTCCAACCTGACTGGAATGGGGGGGGGCCAAGTATGATAGGGGAGGTTGATTGTTCGAAGATGAAGATTTACGTGAACACATTTGCATTGGGGAGCAGGGAATGGCTGCTTTCCCCATATATACACACATACGTTACATGTTTCTAGAAGACCTCTATGCCGATTAGGATAGTGAATAGTGCATAGCAAGACCATTCATTTGTGGAAGCTGGTTTTGGCGGCCAGCGATCAAACCCTGCAATAATTAATAGAGGTCTACTCCAACAAACAAACATGGTGAAAAGCATCATAAAACAAGAAGGACACTCTTAAACAAATAAGACAATTCATTGTTCCGACACAAACACCTGGCGCTTCACTGGTTGGACCTGTGCTTAATTTAATTACGTCCAAAACAGGGCACGTTACCAGATGATGAACATGAGAATAAAAACAACAAGATGCAGGACCTCAAGTTGTCCCATCTGGAAGGGGAGCCTTGCATAGGATAAATAATGCTCCAAGGTCCAACTCCCATGGAATGTTGACATACATGGCAACACTTGTTTGTGTCGCTGTTCTTTTTGGAACGACAAGGCAACACCATGTATGCATCAGCACGTTACAGAGTTAACGAACATGCAGCACAACAAGCGGTGTAGCAAAAAAGACAGCCGTTGTTTTCAACCTCACATCGAAAGAACAACACGTGTTTGGCTCACATCAACTTTTCTCTTGGACGTACAATTGTTTATCATTGCACCCACCGTTGGCAGGTGCGGGAGATCTATGAGCAGATCACTGGCAAGGCGTTGGGTGTTACGTGCGTTTTGAGTTTGGACGAGACATGCAATGGTGTCCGGACCAGCAGATTTGAGGGAATTGCATCAACACTTGGGCAGTCCAGGTTTTGCTTAAGTTGATCGGGCAAAGGTAATTGATTCGTTGGAACTTTGCCAATTCAACTTGTGTGCTATCACATTCACGGGCTACCACTTGGGTTGGTTCCCTCATTTTTGACCGACAGCAAAAGCTTGGCTCAAGTCTGTGAATGACGCAGCAACGTGAGGAAAAGTGATTTGCAAAAGAGTGACCAATGGATTTGAAGTGTTGTGATCATATTGAGTATGAGTCGCATATTAATACTTGTACTGATGTATGTTGCGATATTCCATGCAGTCAAGGTCTTCCAGCCATTGTTCATTCATAGACGTGCATAGGAAATATATAGATATAGGGTATATGCATAATTATGGATATAATATGCACTTGTCACCTAAAAACCTCTAGCGAGGCAGCTTAGTACCTGTTCAATACCTTCCATCTTCATCGCCCCACACCGAACGAGTTCCATGGGACGACGGACCGAATGCCGGACCGAGTTCCGCCATGTGGAGCTTGGTGGTGGAATGGCCCGAGAAGCACCGGAACCAAGCCGTGAACTTCCATCCCAAGGCGTGGCTACCCAGCAGTGTTGTCCAAACTGAAGGACATGAAGGCTAAACATGTAGGATAGTAGGCGCATAGGTGCTCAACATATAATATAATGATCACAAAAAAGACACATGGACGTAAACATGGACCTAAAAACATGGAATTTGATGCACCTAATGATGAAAGGGAATGATGTACTCCAAGATATGTGCTTTCACTCGACGTTTCATGCCTCCATCGTGAACTCGTCAGGGTGAAGGGGGAGCTGGTGGGGTCTCGGTGCCAACGCGCCAGGAACACCAAGTGATTCCTGAACCGGGGAAGAAAGGCCTTGGTGGCCGTGGACATGGAGACGCTTGGATGAGAGGGATATTTTTTGGGGTGGGAACCCCTGAAAGGCTGAAGCAGCCGGGATCCAACGGTTTTTAGAAGCACCATGTGTAGGCCTCAAGATTGCTAAGTGGCTTCTTGGAAGTATGTTGTTTTGGATGCACCATGTTTGCCAGTGGTATCCTGGTATCCTGTGACATTGAAGTGATTGGCGATTTGGAAAGCTGAGCTTTAATCATGAAGCTTCACAGAGCTTCACAGTTTTGAACCAGCTTCGCCACACCTCAGGTGCTTAACCTTTGCTTTTGGTCGTGGGTTCTTTGACCCCGCTGCATCTTCGCCGTTCGCCGAGTGGTGGATTTGGTTTGTTTTCAAACACAAAAGGCATGTGGTCGCTGAGCAGCAACTCTACACCTGACCCGTAAGGGTGATGAGTTATGATGACCAACAAGGTTATAGAGAACGGTCACAGCAGGATGTGGCTTGACCATGGAAAACGACCCGCATTTGGTGACAGTAGGTTCACCAAACACACCAGTGCTTTGGGATTTCATGAAATCGTTCTATGATCTATCGAACTATATATTGGGGTCCTGATGTTCTTCCTGCGCCCGTTGGCCAAGATGTGGACGTGGTATCTCACCTCTCGAACCAGGGTCAAAACTAGACTATCTAGACACCAAAACAGACCAACAAGGGCAGCCCTTCCGTTCATTCGGGAAACATCACATAAAGTTAGGCTATGCATGGCCGCAGCAGTATGCTTTGATCATTTTTGCTATTTTTTTCCGTATGTCCTATGTCTTGTCTCGTGGTCCTCACAACCTTGATCTCCAGTCCTTCCCTGAACTCCCCGGAAACAGCCCGGTCCGCAGATATTCCTGGGACCTTTGTCAACAGCTCCGCTGCTTTTTGCGGATGGGCCACCGGAGAGGAGAGGCGACAGTTTCGAGACGAAGTGGATCCACCAAACACATCCAAAAACAAACGTTCGCCAAAAAGGGACCCAACGATGGCAAGAGTTGATGTTGTTCTCTCAAGAAGAATTTTGTTGTTCCTGAAAATGTAATTAGGAGCAAACCAAGTCACTCTGGAGGTTGAAAGGACTCCCCACATTGACTGAAGTTGACAAGTTGTTTCAAGGCATGTGAAGGGCTTGTTGACTGTGTTCTCGTATACCATCAGCCAGACATTATTTGGTGGAAACTGGTCTATGCTCGTAGACCAATTCCAGGTCATGTTAGACTTTCATCATTTTTTGAGTCTTTGAGGGTGAATCATCCGACTTTGACACCGCGTTGATCCACATTGCATAATAACAATCACAATCTTAAGAACAGGTTGGATGCATCCTTGTGAGTGAGTTTAACACGGTGTCGTTTTCCAAGTCTTGAAGACGTTCGTCATTAGCAAGTCCTAAGTCGAGAAGTTCTTTGTATAGTTGTTGTTTTGTTCAATTTGTGTTCTGCCTTCCATGCTGGTCTTCCACCGTCAAAAGTCAGGATGGCCGTCCGACGCGACGACGATCGAGACCTGGCCTTGGAGGTGAATCACCGAAACTTGGCAGCGAGAAGTTGCTTCAAAGTGTGTCCCATTAGCAGTGACAGTTGCTTGTGAAGGATGATCACTTGTTTCAGGGTTGATTGTATGCCAGGGAACAGTTCTTTTTAAATCTAAATTGTATGAAATTCAATTGAACATGAGTCAAATGAGGTGTTGCTTTCACTATGTAGATCTAGGTAGCGCCTGGCTTCCAACCATCATCCACGTAGTGGGATCTAACACCCAAAGGTGAACTGTTCGACTGTGCGATGCGACGGTGGGAGTGAGTCCTTTCAGCGGTGGGTCATGGGAGTTGCGAAAGACCTGGCAGAGAGTTTTGTGCGAGGAATGTTCTTCTTTTTGTTCTTTTGTTTTTTCATGTTTGTTTTTCTACAGTATTATTGTTCTTATGTTATTGTTTGTTTGTTCATGCTTGCTTGTCTATGTGTATTGTTCTTTTATTGTTGTGTGTTTTTTCATGTTTGTTTTTCCTTTTTTCCGTACTTCACAAGTTCGTTCCTCTTCCACGTCTCAGGAAAGTTCAAAGTGGACAATCCGCTCTCATTTTGGGCCAATGGCTTTGGTGAGACGCTTGGCTTGGGTCAAAAAAGGACACGCATGAGTGTGGTTTACCTGGACGGAACAAATGTTTTCTGAAGCGAAGAATCGCATTGTGGGAAAGACGTTTAGCACAAGAAGAAGGTTTTGCCATGGGTGTGCTTTGGAATAGGAAGAGTCGAAGAGTCCCAATGCAACTCTTTTTGGCATTCAAATCCTCTCATATCATGTGTGCATGATGTCCTTCTGCTTTCCTTTGAGAACTTGTCCTTCACATGTGTTCATCCAAAGCCTTTGCCTTCATCATTTAAACTCTGCCTGGTATTGTTTGTGTGTGTTCTTGGAACCTAGTCTATAGTCTATGGCAGTCTATAGCTGACAGCTGAGGCATTGAAACAGTCATACTTTGGAGTCGGGTAGCAAATGCGACATTGTGTGAGCATAGCCCGCATAGCCTCCAACACTGCCGAAGAATCCATCATACGACAGTTGAATTTTATTTGCTGCTAGTCCAGGACATCCACATGCCGCATGCAGGAAGGGCAGCTTCACAAGTTAACACAATTCGTGATTGTCCAAATGTTTTCTTTGTAAAGTAGTTGCTTTTGTAAGTACTTACTTTTACATGATGAAAATGTTGGGGGGGGGTTCAGTTGTTCTGTTTATGAGGTTACACACACCTACGCACAACATTTAGCTGATTGCAAATATTGCATCCACAGCAATGTTCCGGCCCCCAAACTGTCTATTTGGGGCTTCCACCGTTTACATGTCAAGCACAACAAACTTCGTTGTAGTCTCATCAAAACCTTGCAGAGCTTTTGGGGGGGGCGGGGGGTGCAGCTGTAGGGTTTATGTATTGGTCGTCCCCTTGTGAGCGCTAGCCGACTCTGCCAGGAATTGCAAACGCGATGCTTGGCAAATAAGAGACTGCAGGCGGTTTGCAGCACGCTCCCTGGGGGCTTGTGGGTTGCACAAATTATGGGTCCAACCTGATCTCTCCCAAAGCACAAAGCAGAGTGCCCAAGCACATAGTGACACATATATAATAACCAGATTCCTCAAAAGCAATAATTTTGGAACGGACCAGAAGAGCAACAAGTTGAATTAGGCCCAAGCACATCCAAGCACTTCAATCAACTGTTCCAACTCTCAAGGGATTTCCATCAACCGATGCATCCACAGAATCGCCTGTATCCATGGCCAGACGCTCGCTTTTCATGTGCCGATTTCAAGGAGTGGGCCGCCAAATTCTGCCTCCACAGCGATGGGACCATCTCCCCGGAATCCCAGGATCACCTGGTCTTGGGCGTCCGCCTCTCGTCCGGACGAAGGGAAGTGGAAGTGGAGACGTCTCCGCCGTCTGAATCGTCTCAGAGCTGAGGTCGTCGGGGCCTCGTTTCTTCAAAAAGGAAGTAGAAGGGGTCTCGTTTCTCTGGTGGACGAGGGGTTGGTACATGGCGAGACAATGTGAGACATGGGTTTTTTGAATAATGTCCTTCATTTATCACTTGGTTTGCTCGTTCTACCATTTCCGAGATGGTACCACCCGCAAGACGGAAGACTGCAAACGGTATTTCTTTTTGACTCCTCTCGTCTTCCGGTTGTTTCGTTATGAGAAAGTGCCACCGGCCAGGACATCATGCAACACCAGATCGTGGGGTTGGTATATTCTTAGAATCCCAAGAAAGGACAAAACAAATTGCGGAATTGAGTTGCATTGTGAAAACAACTGGAGCCATCACGTGATGTAATACACTTACAATTTACAATGCTCTATGCTGGTATATAATCATGTAATTGATGTATGTTGGGTGTGTCCGATGGGTCCCATTAACAGTCGGTAAACGACTCTATAACTGTTTTTGAGAACACCTTTACTAAGCATCATCGTCCGCTGTAAGTTACAGGGACTTGGATGTCCCATATTATATCAGATGTTGCCCTACTCGCAGGCGAGCATTGTTCAAGACCATGTATGTGTCTTGAACAACTCCTATGCAAGAGCACACGACAACAATGTAATCAATATCGTCGATGTTTATTCAAAACCTGTAAAGCTGCACGCAACTAACTTGAGTGAGTAGATACCCCACACTGGTTGAAAATTGGCCATGGTTCCATACGCTTCTGTTTACCCTTCAGGGGACTTGTAATGTGTATCGTGAGGATCTCCTCCCTTAGTCCTGTTGAACTATGAATACCCAGGTGGTGCGGTCATGTTCAATGAGACCACATGTTTGGAGTTTAGTTGCTAGGTTTGTGCAGGCCGAGTGGTTCAGGGTTAATTGTTTCACCTCTTGGATGCTTTTTGATGCGCGGTTTACATCCTAGGATTGAGTCTTGGTTGGGGTATGTTGGGGTCATACATGAAAAGCAAACACGTTGGTCGCTTGGTTGATGAAAGCCATTGAAAAGGTGCACGCCAAAGTAAAGACACGCAAACATAACAAAACAGGCTTAAACCACAAACCTTCTTTGTCATTTGAGGCCTCAACGAGCACGGCGTGCCGTCGGTCGTCCTCGTCGAGGCCAGGGCAGAGCGCCGACTAGTGCCTTGGCTACTGATGGCAACTTGTCTTTTTCAGTCACTGCACCAATAGCAATGGCCTCCAACCTACTAGCGTCCTTGCTCCTAGTAGCGATGCCAGGAGCCCCTAGTAGCGTCCTTGCTCCTAATAGCAATGGCCTCCAACCTACTAGCGATGGCCTCCATCCTGCCTTGGCACCGGTGGTTCCAGGAGAAGATGGCATTATTCCACTCGGGTCCAAAGATATCCATTGAGAACCAAGTACCACTCATTGATCATGTATCTTCATTTTGATATATGCACTTTATAACTTAACCAACACACGTATATACAGTATACATATATCTTCATAATATATCCAAATATGTCAAACGCTCCATTTTTTGAGTTTAAATGGGTTCAAGGTCAGAGGATTGCCCCTACAGGGGAACACTATGAGAAGGTGTAACAGCAAAGCACCGAGGTGAAGAACATGGAAGGCGGGCACTTATTTGCTGCAGTGGGCGAATGCACTGTACACAATGATTTCGTGTACTTCCAAGAACCCTGCGGGCTACCATGTCACCCCAGAAAAGACGGTTTCGATACCAAATCTAAGGTCTTCAAGATGGGGAAGGCCCTCTCGGATTGCTGCCTTAGATTTGCTTCAGCATGTTTTGTTTGCGGTTGTGGGTCAGAGTCATAGGCCAGAAACGGACAGATTCATGATTCCTTGAAACCATCCTTGACATTGGCAAGTGGAAAGTGACCAGAACGTCACATGTGCCAGACACTGGTGTTAGTACAGCAATTCCTGATACAGCCCTGTTTGGGTTGTAGGCGGTGAAACAGGGATCTAGAGTGTTTTCATGTGTTAATTTGTTCATTCACGAAAGAGGGACTCTCTTTCACGACTCTGAAGACAGGCTGAACTCAATTGCCTGTTTGGATTCCACCGAATCCGACTCCAAGTCAAGTGTCATCCCATCATTCCAGTCTCTAGACTCGACCGACTTTGAGGCCTTGAGAGGATGGAAGAGCTGCGCAGTACTTCAGATCCCAGGCGTCCGGGGCCGACCTGAGTTTTGATCGGCGGTGTTGGGAGAGCTGTTGATTGTGACGACCTGGTGTATACGTATCCAGGTGCAAGGAGAATGGAGGCTTCCTGCGGGGGTGACCAGAGGAACAGCAGCTTAGCAGCTCCACTGGGAGCTGTTTTGTTGTTCATGTTCCAGAAGGTCGCCTGTGGCGCAGGTTTGTGTTCACAACCAATCGATTTAGGGCTACGCAGGCTGAGAATTGCCAACATCACAGAAACAGCTGAGAGGTTGGAGGTTGAGACAGTCAGGTGTTGCCATATGTTGCCATGACATATACGTATATATATATATA